TTCCAGGTGCTGTCTGGAGAAGTTGTGTTCCTAGTGGTCTTCCAGGTGCTGTCTGGAGAAGTTGTGTTCCTAGTGGTCTTCCAGGCACTGTCTGGAGAAGTTGTGTTCCTAGTGGTCTTCCAGGTGCTGTCTGGAGAAGTTGTGTTCCTAGTGGTCTTCCAGGTGCTGTCTGGAGAAGTTGTGTTCCTAGTGGTCTTCCAGGTGCTGTCTGGAGAAGTTGTGTTCCTAGTGGTCTTCCAGGCACTGTCTGGAGAAGTTGTCTTCCTAGTGGTCTTCCAGGTGCTGTCTGGAGAAGTTGTGTTCCTAGTGGTCTTCCAGGTGCTGTCTGGAGAAGTTGTGTTCCTAGTGGTCTTCCAGGTGCTGTCTGGAGAAGTTGTGTTCCTAGTGGTCTTCCAGGCACTGTCTGGAGAAGTTGTGTTCCTAGTGGTCTTCCAGGTGCTGTCTGGAGAAGTTGTCTTCCTAGTGGTCTTCCAGGTGATGTCTGGAGAAGTTGTGTTCCTAGTGGTCTTCCAGGCACTGTCTGGAGAAGTTGTCTTCCTAGTGGTCTTCCAGGTGCTGTCTGGAGAAGTTGTGTTCCTAGTGGTCTTCCAGGTGCTGTCTGGAGAAGTTGTCTTCCTAGTGGTCTTCCAGGTGCTGTCTGGAGAAGTTGTGTTCCTAGTGGTCTTCCAGGCACTGTCTGGAGAAGTTGTGTTCCTAGTGGTCTTCCAGGTGCTGTCTGGAGAAGTTGTGTTCCTAGTGGTCTTCCAGGTGCTGTCTGGAGAAGTTGTCTTCCTAGTGGTCTTCCAGGTGCTGTCTGGAGAAGTTGTCTTCCTAGTGGTCTTCCAGGTGCTGTCTGGAGAAGTTGTGTTCCTAGTGGTCTTCCAGGCCCTGTCTGGAGAAGTTGTGTTCCTAGTGGTCTTCCTAGTGGTCTTCCAGGCACTATCAGGAGAAGTTGTGTTCCTAGTGGTCTTCCGGGCGCTGTCTGGAGAAGTTGTGTTCCTAGTGGTCTTCCAGGCACTGTCTGGAGAAGTTGTGTTCCTAGTGGTCTTCCAGGTGCTGTCTGGAGAAGTTGTGTTCCTAGTGGTCTTCCTAGTGGTCTTCCAGGCACTATCAGGAGAAGTTGTGTTCCTAGTGGTCTTCCGGGTGCTGTCTGGAGAAGTTGTGTTCCTAGTGGTCTTCCAGGCACTGTCTGGAGAAGTTGTGTTCCTAGTGGTCTTCCAGGTGCTGTCTGGAGAAGTTGTCTTCCTAGTGGTCTTCCAGGTGCTGTCTGGAGAAGTTGTCTTCCTAGTGGTCTTCCAGGTGCTGTCTGGAGAAGTTGTGTTCCTAGTGGTCTTCCAGGCGCTGTCTGGAGAAGTTGTGTTCCTAGTGGTCTTCAAGGCGCTGTCTGAAGAAGTTGTCTTCCTAGTGGTCTTCCAGGCACTGTCTGGAGAAGTTGTCTTCCTAGTGGTCTTCCGGGCGCTGTCTGGAGAAGTTGTCTTCCTAGTGGTCTTCCAGGTGCTGTCTGGAGAAGTTGTGTTCCTAGTGGTCTTCCAGGTGCTGTCTGGAGAAGTTGTGTTCCTAGTGGTCTTCCAGGTGCTGTCTGGAGAAGTTCTGTTCCTACTGGTCTTCCAGGTGCTGTCTGCAGAAGTTGTGTTCCTAGTGGTCTTCCAGGTGCTGTCTGGAGAAGTTGTGTTCCTAGTGGTCTTCCAGGCGCTGTCTGGAGAAGTTGCGTTCCTAGTGGTCTTCCAGGCACTGTCTGGAGAAGTTGTGTTCCTAGTGGTCTTCCAGGTGCTGTCTGGAGAAGTTGTGTTCCTAGTGGTCTTCCAGGTGCTGTCTGGAGAAGTTGTCTTCCTAGTGGTCTTCCAGGTGCTGTCTGGAGAAGTTGTCTTCCTAGTGGTCTTCCAGGTGCTGTCTGGAGAAGTTGTGTTCCTAGTGGTCTTCCAGGCCCTGTCTGGAGAAGTTGTGTTCCTAGTGGTCTTCCTAGTGGTCTTCCAGGCACTATCAGGAGAAGTTGTGTTCCTAGTGGTCTTCCAGGCGCTGTCTGGAGAAGTTGTCTTCCTAGTGGTCTTCCAGGTGCTGTCTGGAGAAGTTGTGTTCCTAGTGGTCTTCCAGGTGCTGTCTGGAGAAGTTGTCTTCCTAGTGGTTGCTGTCTGGAGAAGTGGTCTTCCAGGTGCTGTCTGGAGAAGTTGTGTTCCTAGTGGTCTTCCAGGTGCTGTCTGGAGAAGTTGTGTTCCTAGTGGTCTTCCAGGCACTGTCTGGAGAAGTTCTGTTCCTACTGGTCTTCCAGGTGCTGTCTGCAGAAGTTGTGTTCCTAGTGGTCTTCCAGGCGCTGTCTGGAGAAGTTGCGTTCCTAGTGGTCTTCCAGGCACTGTCTGGAGAAGTTGTGTTCCTAGTGGTCTTCCAGGTGCTGTCTGGAGAAGTTGTGTTCCTAGTGGTCTTCCAGGTGCTGTCTGGAGAAGTTGTCTTCCTAGTGGTCTTCCAGGCGCTGTCTGGAGAAGTTGTGTTCCTAGTGGTCTTCCAGGTGCTGTCTGGAGAAGTTGTGTTCCTAGTGGTCTTCCTAGAGGTCTTCCAGGTGCTGTCTGGAGAACTTGTGTTCCTTATGGAATTGTGGGAAATTTTCCTGTGGCTCACATGCACTCATGTATTTACTTGTTCCCAGAAGCCATTTTGTAAAATATTCAAAGGTTTGACTGTTTTCTCCTAAAGTTACTTATCCTTCATCACTAAGTGGGTCTACTCAGGGTCTCAGACAGCTGGGAATGTGTAGATATACCATGCTTCTTTGTTTCCCGATGTTGGACACATCAGCCCTTATCACCTGCTGCCTTGGAGAAGTATGCTTTGGCCATAAAGAAAGGGCAGGAGAATAAGATGGCCATGAAGCACCAGCACTTCAGTTACAGAATCTGAAACCATTTCCGATAATCAGTTGGACTCAGGGGAGCTTGGTCTCCTCCCTGTCCCATCTGATCAATTGGACACAACTCATCAGTAACAGTGAAACAAAGTTTGACATGGAAGAGACCTTGTCTGCAGCATTGAAGCTGTTTGTCAATCTTCTAAAAGGATAAGCAGGTGGGAGCTCTATTGCCATCACAGAAGAGACCAAGCATTGATCTTCCATGGAATAGGCCCCCAAGTGATGGTGAGATATATATTAAGTTAACAACATTCAAGGTCTAAACTATTGGTTTGTTTTTGGGAACATGCCGCCATCTGGTAAAGTGGCCAATGGTGAAGGCAGTAACTGACAAGCTAAACTAGCAAGACAGTTCACACTCTTGAACAGAGGCCACTATTACCAGCTGCATTTGTCAATCTCATCTGAGACACGGAAATCTGTAAATTATTCAAATGTCTTTTTCAAAGTTATTCATGAAGAAATAAATGTTACCGCGGGAAAGGACGTTGGAATGACGTCACACGTTCACGTCATATTTTCGCACCCGCCATCTTAGTAGAAGTTTATTGAGGACGGTACAACGATGTCATTGTGCAGCAACAAATGGAACTCGGGATCATCGATCTGACCTCGGTTGCGGTAAGTTAACTTTACAGTCACTACCCGGTTGTTGTTATGTTTATGTACATTTTGATATTCCCGGGACTCAGGCAGTTGAATTTGTAGATTAATCACTGGAAGTGATAGATTTATTGAGGATTACATCAAATAATCCAGGAGCTGTGAATCAGTAAATGTAAGTGCATCTGTTAAATATCATTGTCTATATACTTATTGGTGACGTTTTGGCTTTAGATTGCAAAAATTGGATTTGTACCTGCACCAAGCCTCTGACCAACAAGAGTGGTGGGGTTGTCGTTGCTATTCAGCGTGATTTGAAACTATTACCAAATTAGGCATTCAAGGGTTTCCATTATTTTCCATTGTGTGCTGGTGTCCATCAAACACTTGCATATACATAGGTGCTGGAAGACTTCATTAACTGATTATTGTCTCTTGATTTGACTTAATACACTTACTATACATTTTTTTTCTTTATTTCAGAAAAATGGATAAAGTCGAAACGCAAAGAAGAAGATTCTGAAATAATCTCGAAAAGTGGACTTTTTAATAAAGAGTGTTGATTATATGTCTGCCATTCTTTTTTATGTTCCTTGTAATGAGTAACAATGTCTTTTTTCGATAGACATTTAACCTTATTGTTAACGGTTAGTGTTTTACTGTAAAGTTAAAACCATATCTTGACAGAAAATGTTATTACAACGTTTCCTGAGATATATACATGCACATGGATAAAACGTTTTTAGAAGCCTTTTTGGTGGTTACTGAATTTTATAACCAAACGTTCATAGAACACACTGTTTCTGGAACCATACAAATGCATATGAACAAATCGTTTTAAAAACATGATATGTTTAGGGGATGTTTCTTCACATCTCTATATATGTTTTGATACACATATACAATAGTATTCGTTTATAAATTGTGGCACATGCTATCAAATATGTATTCACCGTGGACAAGTGAAGTGAGCAACTAAACTAACGGGTAAAAGAAAACGATACCAAGTCGAAATCACTGATATTACAAAACGACTAACCACCATTGTGTAAAAGGAAAGTGAATTTTAATAACCGGTGTACGGGCATGTGTATGCACATGCATGTTACCCATACACCTGTTATCAAAATTCACTTTCCTTTACAATGGTTTGTCGTTTTTGTAATATCAGTGAATTCGACTTTTAATCATTGCTTTCGTTAGGTTATTATTGCAGTGCCTATAAAGTGACGACGTTGGGCCGATGCAGTGTAAATAAAGTATGCCGAGGCTGAGCCAATGTAGGGCCGATGCAGGCCCGATGAAGTTTGCCAACGTCGGGCCGATAATGCACATGACGTCGGGCCGATGTTGGGCCGATGATGGCATGCTACCTGGGGTGTTACAGGAAGTATTTACTGGAGACATGCTTGTTTGGGAGGATTCACCTTAGTCCATTACTAAACCCTGATCATGCCACACACTGTCACCTGGAACTGTGTTGTCATGTCAACTGTGTAATACCTGACTCTATACTTACAATCGTGTTGTTGTGCCCTGTCGGTGAGTATCATGGTCCATCTCATCTCTCAGCCAATCAGAAAGTCTGGACTGGTGTCGCACGACCTCTGCCATGAAGTCGGTTATCTGGTCAGTTTCCACTTTCACCTGCTTCAAGGATTGTCTTCTCTGTCTCCGGGCCGTGAACCCTCGCATAGCTAAGACAAGTAACAGAGGAACTTGTAACAGCCAGCATAACTACATTCAAGACATGATCTATCAAACAAACATTAACGAACACGCCATAGCTGTGACGAGTAACAGACGAACTTGTAACATCCAGCATGGCTACATTCAAGACATGATCTATTAAACAAACATTAACCAACACGCCATAGCTGTGACGAGGAAGATGTTACAACCACATAGCCAGGTGTTAGATAAACATGTTACAACCACATAGCCAGGTGTTAGATAAACATGTTACAACCACATAGCCAGGTGTTAGATAAGCATGTTACAACCACATAGCCAGGTGTTAGATAAACATGTTACAACCACATAGCCAGGTGTTAGATAAGCATGTTACAACCACATAGCCAGGTGTTAGATAAGCATGTTACAACCACAAAGCCAGGTGTTAGATAAGAATGTTACAACCACATAGCCAGGTGTTAGATAAGCATGTTACAACCACATAGCCAGGTGTTAGATAAGCATGTTACAACCACATAGCCAGGTGTTAGATAAGCATGTTACAACCACATAGCAAGGTGTTAGATAAGCATGTTACAACCACATAGCAAGGTGTTAGATAAGCATGTTACAACCACATAGCCAGGTGTTAGATAAGCATGTTACAACCACAAAGCCAGGTGTTAGATAAGCATGTTACAACCACATAGCCAGGTGTTAGATAAGCATGTTACAACCACATAGCCAGGTGTTAGATAAGCATGTTACAACCACATAGCAAGGTGTTAGATAAAGCATGTTACAACCACATAGCCAGGTGTTAGATAAAGCATGTTACAACCACATAGCCAGGTGTTAGATAAGCATGTTACAACCACATAGCCAGGTGTTAGATAAGCATGTTACAACCACATAGCCAGGTGTTAGATAAGCATGTTACAACCACATAGCCAGGTGTTAGATAAGAATGTTACAACCACATAGCCAGGTGTTAGATAAGCATGTTACAACCACATAGCCAGGTGTTAGATAAGCATGTTACAACCACATAGCCAGGTGTTAGATAAACATGTTACAACCACATAGCCAGGTGTTAGATAAGCATGTTACAACCACTTAGCCAGGTGTTAGATAAGCATGTTACAACCACATAGCCAGGTGTTAGATAAGCATGTTACAACCACATAGCCAGGTGTTAGATAAGAATGTTACAACCACAAAGCAAGGTGTTAGATAAGCATGTTACAACCACATAGCCAGGTGTTAGGTAAGCATGTTTACAACCACATAGCCAGGTGTTAGATAAGCATGTTACAACCACATAGCCAAGGTGTTAGATAAGAATGTTAAAACCACAAGCAGTTAGATAAGCGTATGTTACAACCACTTAGCCAGGTGTTACATAAGAATGTTACAACCACAAAGCAAAGTGTTACATAAGAATGTTACAACCACATAGCCAGGTGTTAGGTAAGCATGTTACAACCACAAAGCAAGGTGTTGGATAAGCATGTTACAACCACATAGCAAGGTGTTACATAAGAATGTTACAACCACAAAGCAAGGTGTTACATAAGAATGTTACAACCACAAAGCAAGGTGTTACATAAGAATGTTACAACCACATAGCCAGGTGTTAGATAAGCATGTTACAACCACATAGCCAGGTGTTAGATAAGAATGTTACAACCACAAAGCAAGGTGTTACATAAGAATGTTACAACCACATAGCCAGGTGTTAGGTAAGCATGTTACAACCACAAAGCAAGGTGTTGGATAAGCATGTTACAACCACAAAGCAAGGCTTTAGATAAACATGTTACAACCACATAGCCAGGTGTTAGATAAGCATGTTACAACCAAATAGCCAGGTGTTAGATAAGCATGTTACAACCACATAGCCAGGTGTTAGATAAGCATGTTACAACCACATCGCCAGGTGTTAGATAAACATGTTACACAACATAGCCAGGTGTAAAATAAGCATGTTACAACAAAATAGCCAGGTGTTAGGTAAGCATGTTACAACCACATAGCCAGGTGTTAGGTAAGCATGTTACAACCACATAGCCAGGTGTTAGATAAGCATGTTACAACCACAAAGCAAGGCTTTAGATAAACATGTTACATCCAATTAGCCAGGTTTTAGATAAGCATGTTACAACCAGAAAGCAAGGTGTTATAAAAGCATGTTACAACCACATAGCCAGGTGTAAAATAAGCATGTTACAACAAAATAGCCAGGTGTTAGATAAGCATGTTACGACATAGCCAGGTGTTACATAAGCATGTTACAACCACATAGCCAGGTGTTAGATAAACATGTTACAACCACATAGCCAGGTGTTAGATAAACATGTTACAACCACATAGCCAGGTGTTAGATAAGCATGTTACAACCACATAGCCAGGTGTTAGATAAACATGTTACAACCACATAGCCAGGTGTTAGATAAGCATGTTACGACATAGTCAGGTGTTAGATAAGCATGTTACAACCACATAGCCAGGTGTTAGATAAGCATGTTACAACCACATAGTCAGGTGTTAGATAAGCATGTTACAACCACATAGCCAGGTGTTAGATAAACATGTTACAACCACATAGCCAGGTGTTAGATAAGCATGTTACAACCACATAGCCAGGTGTTAGATAAACATGTTACACAACATAGCCAGGTGTAAAATAAGCATGTTACAACAAAATAGCCAGGTGTTAGGTAAGCATGTTACAACCACAAAGCAAGGCTTTAGATAAACATGTTACATCCAATTAGCCAGGTTTTAGATAAGCATGTTACAACCAGAAAGCAAGGTGTTATAAAAGCATGTTACAACCACATAGCCAGGTGTAAAATAAGCATGTTACAACAAAATAGCCAGGTGTTAGATAAGCATGTTACGACATAGCCAGGTGTTACATAAGCATGTTACAACCACATAGCCAGGTGTTAGATAAACATGTTACAACCACATAGCCAGGTGTTAGATAAGCATGTTACAACCACATAGCCAGGTGTTAGATAAACATGTTACAACCACATCGCCAGGTGTTAGATAAGCATGTTACGACATAGTCAGGTGTTAGATAAGCATGTTACAACCACATAGCCAGGTGTTAGATAAGCATGTTACGACATAGTCAGGTGTTAGATAAGCATGTTACAACCACATAGCCAGGTGTTAGATAAACATGTTACAACCACATAGCCAGGTGTTAGATAAGCATGTTACAACCACATAGCCAGGTGTTAGATAAGCATGTTACGACATAGTCAGGTGTTACATAAGCATGTTACAACCACAAAGCTAGAAGTTAGATAAGTTCAACATGCCATATTCAGCATAAGCTCTAGTGTGTACACTCAGTGAGCTACATTTCTAAACATCCTGTACAAAGACCTGTTTTATATAGCATGAAGGATTTAGGATACATTGGTATAGTGGGTGTACACTGGTACATTGGTATAGTGGGTATACACTGGTACATTGGTATAGTGGGTATACACTGGTACATCGGTATAGTGGGTATAGGATGGTACATTGGTATAGTGGGTGTACACTGGTACATTGGTATAGTGGGTATACACTGGTACATTGGTATAGTGGGAAAAGACTGGTACATTGGTATATTGGGTAAAGACTGGTACATTGGTATAGTGGGTGTACACTGGTACATTGGTATAGTGGGTATACACTGGTACATTGGTATAGTGGGTATAGTCCGGTACATTGGTATAGTGGGTATACTCTGGTACATCGGTATATTGGGTAAAGACTGGTACATTGGTATAGTGGGTATACACTGGTACATTGGTATAGTGGGTATACACTGGTACATTGGTATAGTGGGTATAGTCTGGTACATTGGTATAGTGGGTATAGTCCGGTACATTGGTATAGTGGGTATACTCTGGTACATTGGTATAGTGGGTATACGCTGGTACATTGGTATAGTGGGTAAAGACTGGTACATTGGTATAGTGGGTATACACTGGTACATTGGTATAGTGGGTATACACTGGTACATTGGTATAGTGGGTAAAGACTGGTACATTGGTATAGTGGGTATAGACTGGTACATTGGTATAATGGGTATAGACTGGTACATTGGTATAGTGGGTATACGCTGGTACATTGGTATAGTGGGTAAAGACTGGTACATTGGTATAGTGGGTATACACTGGTACATTTGTATAGTGGGTATAGACTGGTACATTGGTATAGTGGGTATACTCTGGTACATCGGTATATTGGGTAAAGACTGGTACATTGGTAAAGTGGGTATAGACTGGTACATTGGTATAGTGGGTATACACTGGTACATTGGTATAATGGGTATAGACTGGTTCATTGGTATAGTGGGTATACGCTGGTACATTGGTATAGTGGGTAAAGACTGGTACATTGGTAAAGTGGGTATAGGCTGGTACATCGGTATATTGGGTAAAGACTGGTACATTGGTATAATGGGTATAGACTGGTACATTGGTATAGTGGGTGTACACTGGTACATTGGTATAATTGGTATAGACTGGTACATCGGTATAGTAGGTATACTCTGGTACATCGGCATATTGGGTAAAGACTGGTACATTGGTATAATGGGTATAGACTGGTACATTGGTATAGTGGGTAAAGACTGGTACATTGGTATAGTGGGTATACTCTGGTACATTGGTATAGTGGGTATAGGCTGGTACATTGGTATAGTGGGTATAGGTTGGTACATTGGTATAGTGGGTGTATGCTGGTACATTGGTATAGTGGGTATACGCTGGTACATTGGTATAGTGGGTATACACTGGTACATTGGTATAGTGGGTATAGGCTGGTACATTGGTATAGTGGGTGTACGCTGGTACATTGGTATAGTGGGTATACTCTGGTACATTAGTATAGTGGGTAAAGACTGGTACATTGGTATAGTGGGTATACTCTGGTACATTGGTATAGTGGGTATACTCTGGTACATTGGTATAGTGGGTATAGGCTGGTACATTGATATAGTGGGTATAGGCTGGTACATTGGTATAGTGGGTGTACGCTGGTACATTGGTATAGTGGGTATACTCTGGTACATTGGAATAGTGGGTAAAGACTGGTACATTGGTATAGTGGGTATACTCTGGTACATTGGTTATAGTGGGTATACTCTGGTACATTGGTATAGTGGGTATAGGCTGGTACATTGGTATAGTGGGTATAGGCTGGTACATTGGTATAGTGGGTAAAGACTGGTACATTGGTATAGTGGGTAAAGACTGGTACATTGGTATAGTGGGTATACTCTGGTTCGGTGGGTATACAGTGCTGAGTTCCTCTGGAGTTATGTGGCTTGACATTTACAACAATCACTTCTCCTTTTTATTGAACTGTACTGTTACACTTCTTACCAGCTTGGCATCTGATGACCTTGCCTTTGATCTCTCTGACCTTCTCATCCATTGTATCCACTTGACCTTGCCGCAGAAAAACTTTAGACTTCCCGATCTACAGTATTAAACAGTTGTAAACTTTACATTTCCCGAGCCACAGAATCAAACAGTTGTAAACTTTACATTTTCCAATCCACAGTGTCAAACAGTTGTAGACTTTAGATTTCCCGATCCACAGTGTCAAACAGTTGTAAACTTTAGATTTCCCAATCCACAGTGTCAAACAGTTGTAAACTTTAGATTTCCCAATCCACAGTGTCAAACAGTTGTAAACTTTAGATTTCCCAATCCACAGTGTCAAACAGTTGTAAACTTTAGATTTCCCGATCTACAGTGTCAAACAGTTGTAAACTTTAGATTTCCCAATCCACAGTGTCAAACAGTTGTAAACTTTAGATTTCCCGATCTACAGTGTCAAACAGTTGTAAACTTTAGATTTCCCAATCCACAGTGTCAAACAGTTGTAAACTTTAGATTTCCCAATCCACAGTGTCAAACAGTTGTAAACTTTAGATTTCCCAATCCACAGTGTCAAACAGTTGTAAACTTTAGATTTCCCAATCCACAGTGTCAAACAGTTATAAACCTTTGTAAAGATATGTTTATTTCATCAATGATAATCTATTGCATGACATCCCTCATTCCTGCACATAAGCAGCCATCTGACTAACTTCACCACAACTTGTTGAGGAGGTATCCTGGATCTGACGTGAATGTACTCTAAACTGACCATAAAGTGTGGGGGAGCAACTGGACAGCATCACAGTAATCTAACAGTTGGGAGGGAGGTAATCACAGTAATAGAGATGAGTAATATACAGGAGATAGTAATTTTGAGGCGATAGCTCTAATCTAACAGTAATGGGAGGGAGGTTACTTCAGTCCAACCTAATCTGACAGCACTTTACAGCAGGTAACTTTGTCTCACCTGATAGTCTGTGATGTTGCAGTGATGCATCACGTCCCGACATGCCTGTTCTGGTGTCACCATGCCCTTCCGTAGAGCAGTGACTAAAATGTCCATGCAGTTGTACCTGATGCATAAAACGTCAGGGTAGGAAGTGTTTAAAAAAAACACACATCAATATACACATCTCCACACCACACAACATCTACACCCTGTCACATCTCCACACCACACAACATCTACACCCCGTCAAATCTCCACGCAATGACACACCTACACCCCCACCACATCTACACCTCACCACATCTACATACCCCAAAACATCTACAACCCTCACCACATTTACACCCCACAACATCTACACCAACCACATCTACACCACACCACATCTACACCCCACCACATCTACACCTCACCACATCTACTTACACCAAAACATCTACAACCCCCACCAAATCTACACCAACCCAAATCCATACACCCCACCACATCTACACCCACCACATCTACATATCCCACAACATCTACACCCACCACATCTACACCCACCACATCCATACACCCCACCAAATCTACACCCCACCACATCTACATCCCACCATATCTACACCACACCACATCTACACCACACCATATCTACACTCACATCTACACCCCACCACATCCATACACCCCACCACATCCATACATCCCACCACATCCATACACCCCACCACATCTACACACCACCACATCTCACACCACCACATCTACACCCCACATCTACACACCACCACACACCTACATCTATCACATCTACACACCCCACATCTACACACACATCTACACACACCACATCTACACACACACCACATCTACACACACCACATCTACACACACCACCACATCTACACACCCCACATCTACACACATCCACACACACATCCCCACATCTACACACACCCACATCTACACACCCCACATCTACACACCACCACATCTACACAACCACACACACATCCACATCTACACCACATCTACACACACTACACACCACACTACACATCTACACACCCACCACATCTACACACACCACATCTACACACACCACATCTACACACCACCACATCTACACACACCACATCTACACACCCCACATCTACACACACACCACATCTACACACCCACCACATCTACACACCACATCTACACCCACATCTACACACCCCACATCTACATCTACACCCCACCACATCTACACACACACCACATCTACACACACCACATCTCCACACCACACCCCACCACATCTACACACCCCACATCTACACACCCCACATCTACACAACCCACCACATCTACACCCCGCCACATCTACACAACTCCCCACATCCCATATCTCTTCACCCCACATCTACACTTCCCATATCTCTTCACCCCATATCTACACATCCCATATATCTACACCCCATATCTACACATCCCATATCTCTTCACCCCACATCTACACTTCCAATATCTCTTCACCCCATATCTACACATCCCATATGTCTACACCCCATATCTACACATCCCATATCTCTTCACCCCACATCTACACTTCCTACATTATGTTTCCTCCCATCAATCCACCTGACAGCCAATACGGTGCTCACCTGGTCAGGAAGCTGGTGAAGGAGATACGGAGAGCGTAGCCATGTTTACGAATCCTGACTGTCTCCAACACACCGGTGTATAGCAGCTGGGCTTTGACATAATCTGTGGTGAAGCCGAGCGCTGATTTGGTCTCGTTTGGTTTGATACACCGTATGAAGTGGGGCTCACAGGACTCGAGCTTTGCCATCATTTCCGTCAGGGAGTTCTGCCAACAACCACTTCAATGTGAGATATACTACCTTCTCGTTCTGTCAACAACCACTTCAATGTGAGATGTACTACCTTCTCGTTCTGTCAACAACCACTTCAATGTGAGATGTACTACCTTCTAGTTCTGCCAACAACCACTTCAATGTGAGATGTACTACCTTCTAGTTCTGACAACAACCACTTCAATGTGAGATGTACTGCCTTCTAGTTCTGACAACAACCACTTCAATGTGAGATGTACTACCTTTTTGGTCTGACAACAACCACTTCAATGTGAGATGTACTACCTTTTGTTCTGACAACAACCACTTTGAGAACCTTTTGTCTGAGAACAACCACTTCAATGTGAGATGTTCCTTTTTCTGGACAACAACCACTTTCAATGTGAGATGTGACAACTACCACTTTTTGTACTCTGACAACAACCACTTCAATGTGAGATGGAATTGGTCTGACAACAAGAGTTCTGAGAGTCCACGCAGAGTTTAGGATAGTTTAGGAGGCTACTCTCAATGCATGATGGATCTATCTCTTTACATGGCCGTGACATAAAATGAATTGGAAACAATAGATCACCTTGTGATGGGACATGCCTCACCTTGAAGTGATGGGACTTGTCTCACCTTGGGATGGGACTTGCCTCACCTTGGGATGGGACATGCCTCACCTTGAAGTGATGGGACTTGCCTCACCTTGGGATGGGACTTGCCTCACCTTGAAGTGATGGGACTTGCCTCACCTTGGGATGGGACTTGCCTCACCTTGGGATGGGACTTGTCTCACCTTAGGATTGAACTAGACACACCTTGGGATGGGACTAGACTCACCTTGGGATGGAACTAGACTCACCTTGGGATGGGACTTGCCTCACCTTGAGATGGGACTCTGCCTCACCTTGGGATGGACTTGCCCTCACATTGGGATGGGACTTGCCTCACCTTGAAGTGATGGGACTTGCCTCACCTTGGGATGGGACTTGCCCTCACCTTGGGATGGGACTTGTCTCACCTTAGGATGGAACTAGACTCCACTTTGGGATGGGACTTGACCTCACCTTGGGATGGAACTAGACTCACCTTGGGATGGAACTAGACTCACCTTGGGATGGGACTAGACTCACCTTGGGATGGAACTAGACTCACCTTGGGATGGAACTAGACTCACCTTGGGATGGGACTAGACTCACCTTGGGATGGAACTAGACTCACCTTGGGATGGGACTAGACTCACCTTGGGATGGAACTAGACTCACCTTGTGATGGGACTAGACTCACCTTGGGATGGGACTTGACTCACCTTGGGATGGAACTAGACTCACCTTGTGATGGGACTTGCCTCACCTTGGGATGGGACTAGACTCACCTTGGGATGGAACTAGACTCACCTTGTGATGGGACTTGTCTCACCTTGGGATGCAACTAGACTCACCTTGGGATGGGACTAGACTCACCTTGGGATGGAACTAGACTCACCTTGTGATGGGACTTGTCTCACCTTGGGAAGGGACTAGACTCACCTTGGGATGGAACTAGACTCACCTTGTGATGGGACTTGCCTCACCTTGGGATGGGACTTGCCTCACCTTGAAGTGATGGGACTCGAATCACCTTGTGATGGGACTTGCCTCATCTTGAAGTGATGGGACTTGCCTCACCTTGTGATGGGACTTGCCTCACCTTGAAGTGATGGGACTTCTCTCACCTTGTGATGGAACTAGACTCACCTTGTGATGGGACTAGACTCACCTTGGGATGGAACTAGACTCACCTTGGGATGGAACTAGACTCACCTTGGGATGGGACTAGACTCACCTTGGGATGGAACTAGACTCACCTTGGGATGGAACTAGACTCACCTTGGGATGGAACTAGACTCACCTTGTGATGGGACTAGACTCACCTTGGGATGGGACTTGACTCACCTTGGGATGGAACTAGACTCACCTTGTGATGGGACTTGCCTCACCTTCGGATGGGACTAGACTCACCTTGGGATGGAACTAGACTCACCTTGTGATGGGACTTGTCTCACCTTGGGATGCAACTAGACTCACCTTGGGATGGGACTAGACTCACCTTGGGATGGAACTAGACTCACCTTGTGATGGGACTTGTCTCACCTTGGGAAGGGACTAGACTCACCTTGGGATGGAACTAGACTCACCTTGAAGTGATGGGACTTGCCTCACCTTGGGATGGGACATGCCTCACCTTGAAGTGATGGGACTTGCCTCACCTTGGGATGGGACTTGCCTCACCTTGAAGTGATGGGACTTGCCTCACCTTGGGATGGGACTTGCCTCACCTTGGGATGGGACTTGTCTCACCTTAGGATTGAACTAGACACACCTTGGGATGGGACTAGACTCAGCTTGGGATGGAACTAGACTCACCTTGGGATGGGACTTGCCTCACCTTGAGATGGGACTTGCCTCACCTTGGGATGGGACTTGCCTCACATTGGGATGGGACTTGCCTCACCTTGAAGTGATGGGACTTGCCTCACCTTGGGATGGGACTTGCCTCACCTTGGGATGGGACTTGTCTAACCTTAGGATGGAACTAGACTCACTTTGGGATGGGACTTGCCTCACCTTGGGATGGAACTAGACTCACCTTGGGATGGGACTAGACTCACCTTGGGATGGAACTAGACTCACCTTGGGATGGGACTAGACTCACCTTGGGATGGAACTAGACTCACCTTGTGATGGAACTAGACTCACCTTGGGATGGGACTAGACTCACCTTGTGATGGGACTAGACTCACCTTGGGATGGAACTAGACTCACCTTGGGATGGGACTAGACTCACCTTGGGATGGAACTAGACTCACCTTGGGATGGAACTAGACTCACCTTGGGATGGGACTAGACTCACCTTGGGATGGAACTAGACTCACCTTGGGATGGAACTAGACTCACCTTGGGATGGAACTAGACTCACCTTGTGATGGGACTAGACTCACCTTGGGATGGGACTTGACTCACCTTGGGATGGAACTAGACTCACCTTGTGATGGGACTTGCCTCACCTTGGGATGGGACTAGACTCACCTTGGGATGGAACTAGACTCACCTTGTGATGGGACTTGTCTCACCTTGGGATGCAACTAGACTCACCTTGGGATGGGACTAGACTCACCTTGGGATGGAACTAGACTCACCTTGTGATGGGACTTGTCTCACCTTGGGAAGGGACTAGACTCACCTTGGGATGGAACTAGACTCACCTTGTGATGGGACTTGCCTCACCTTGGGATGGGACTTGCCTCACCTTGAAGTGATGGGACTTCAATCACCTTGTGATGGGACTTGCCTCATCTTGAAGTGATGGGACTTGCCTCACCTTGTGATGGGACTTGCCTCACCTTGAAGTGATGGGACTTCTCTCACCTTGTGATGGAACTAGACTCACCTTGTGATGGGACTAGACTCACCTTGGGATGGAACTAGACTCACCTTGGGATGGAACTAGACTCACCTTGGGATGGGACTAGACTCACCTTGGGATGGAACTAGACTCACCTTGGGATGGAACTAGACTCACCTTGGGATGGAACTAGACTCACCTTGTGATGGGACTTGCCTCACCTTGGGATGGGACTAGACTCACCTTGGGATGGAACTAGACTCACCTTGTGATGGGACTTGTCTCACCTTGGGATGCAACTAGACTCACCTTGGGATGGGACTAGACTCACCTTGGGATGGAACTAGACTCACCTTGGGATGGGACTAGACTCACCTTGTGATGGGACTTGCCTCACCTTGGGATGGGACTAGACTCACCTTGGGATGGAACTAGACTCACCTTGTGATGGGACTTGTCTCACCTTGGGATGCAACTAGACTCACCTTGGGATGGGACTAGACTCACCTTGGGATGGAACTAGACTCACCTTGTGATGGGACTTGTCTCACCTTGGGAAGGGACTAGACTCACCTTGTGATGGAACTAGACTCACCTTGTGATGGGACTTGCCTCACCTTGGGATGGGACTTGCCTCACCTTGAAGTGATGGGACTTGCCTCACCTTGGGATGGGACTTGCCTCACCTTGGGATGGGACTTGTCTCACCTTAGGATTGAACTAGACACACCTTGGGATGGGACTAGACTCACCTTGGGATGGAACTAGACTCACCTTGGGATGGGACTTGCCTCACCTTGAGATGGGACTTGCCTCACCTTGGGATGGGACTTGTCTCACCTTAGGATGGAACTAGACTCACTTTGGGATGGGACTTGCCTCACCTTGGGATGGAACTACACTCACCTTGGGATGGAACTAGACTCACCTTGTGATGGGACTAGACTCACCTTGGGATGGAACTAGACTCACCTTGGGATGGAACTAGACTCACCTTGGGATGGGACTAGACTCACCTTGGGATGGAACTAGACTCACCTTGGGATGGAACTAGACTCACCTTGGGATGGAACTAGACTCACCTTGTGATGGGACTAGACTCACCTTGGGATGCAACTAGACTCACCTTGGGATGGGACTAGACTCACCTTGGGATGGAACTAGACTCACCTTGTGATGGGACTTGTCTCACCTTGGGAAGGGACTAGACTCACCTTGGGATGGAACTAGACTCACCTTGTGATGGGACTTGCCTCACCTTGGGATGGGACTTGCCTCACCTTGAAGTGATGGGACTCGAATCACCTTGTGATGGGACTTGCCTCATCTTGAAGTGATGGGACTTGCCTCACCTTGTGATGGGACTTGCCTCACCTTGAAGTGATGGGACTTCTCTCACCTTGTGATGGAACTAGACTCACCTTGTGATGGGACTAGACTCACCTTGGGATGGAACTAGACTCACCTTGGGATGGAACTAGACTCACCTTTGGGATGGGACTAGACTCACCTTGGGATGGAACTAGACTCACCTTGGGATGGAACTAGACTCACCTTGGGATGGAACTAGACTCACCTTGTGATGGGACTAGACTCACCTTGGGATGGGACTTGACTCACCTTG